GAAAAGAAGCTGAATACCGTCATGCTTAATGAAAACAACTTGCTAACGGAAAGTTTCAGGAAAGACTGCCTGTCGGAGGAAAATAATCCACAGCGTCATGTGTTTTGTATAAACTGACCTCCTAGTGATTCAAAAGAATGACTTCAATGTGAAGCTTCCCACCACCGCGATGCAGTAAACAAACGCACGCTTGCAGTCTTTAAGACGTTTTGTGTAATCCCATTGGTCACGGAACTGCATCCACACTTTTTTCGGAGGAAGAAAAAAAAAAAATGAAGAAGAACGCAAGCAGCAAAAACAACCACCGCAGCTCCTTTCCCCAGTCTGCTTGAATCATTAGGCATGCACCGTTTAATTTCTGGCACAACACATGAACAGTTCCTCGTTAGCTAGTGTGCGTCACGCTCCGTGCTGTTTAGCCGGTAATGCAGTCGGTTGAAAAAAAATGTGCTTTCTGTTCAGCATTCTTGTCGCTGTCTTGTCGTTGCTTCCTTTCCACTAAACTCTGTCTGCGTACAACGTAAGGCAAATATCAAGTCTCCACACATTCACAGAAAGGGCAAAATACTGTTGCAATGACTTGATCTGACTCTCCTGACCAACAGGGGACTTCAAATATTAGGCATTTATTTAAAAAAAAAAGACAAAAGAAAGACAGAAACTGTTGTTGGTTTCAAAGAGTTGCTGTGTTGGTTAAAGAAACAAATGCAGGGAGTTGTTGGTTTGATGCTCAGCAGGGCCTCAAGCGCAGATCAGGGCAGCCCGGCGTGTCTAGTTGTGCGCTGCTGATCGTGGATAGAAAGAGGCTCAGGAATCAGTGTTTGGGGATGATTTGATAACCACAGAATTAGCAAGCTCTTCAAAAAATCTGCTTTTAACACAGGTTTGACAAATTTATACCCCCCCCCCCCACACACACACACACACACACACACACACACACACACACACAAGCTATAGCCTAAGTGGCTAGTTTACCTTAGCAATGGTGCATTTCATTGTTGGTGGCTGCCTTTCTAGGCAATTATTATCCACCTGAAAAGGGTCTTGTTCTTGTATCAACTTTAATGCATCCCGAACCACATTGCGTGGTTCCCGGTGTTGAACTTTTTTGAATATACCCCCACAAATGTTATATCAAAACGACCGGCTCGGCACCGTGATGTGTATTACTGTTGGCTTTTTGAGTTATGGCAACAAAATTTGCAAATATGCCATTTTTCTCAATGAAAAACATTGACAGAACTCCAAAGAGCTCCTAACTGCCACAGTGAGTTCACACGACCTAGAACAAAACATTAATTAACTTTTGGAGCCATTTTGGATCAAGAAGGCTGCCACAGCTAACCCAGAAATCCCAAAATTGACTATAACTCTGTCATTCTTTGAGATATTGAGATGAAAGTTGGTACGGTCGTAGCTGAGAACAAGTTGTTATACAATCTTAATGCAAATTAAAAATCCAAGATAGGTGCCTTAACTAAAAGAGAGAAAAAAAAAAAAGATAATTCAGCTATTTTACAAGATATTGAGCTGAAGTTTGTTGTGGTGGTACCAGACAGCGATGCACGGCACATTCTGAATTCAAATCTAAAAATGCAAGATGACCATCATAGCTAATTTCAAATGTATAAAACATGAATTTTTAAAGCTATTCAGCAGAAATGTGGTGTAATGATAGCTGAGAACAATCACTAACAGACTGATTGCAAATCAAAAAATGGTCACCTGAACTAAAAATGAAGAATACTATAAATCAGCCATTTTTAGAGATATTAAGCTGAAATCTGGTGTGGTGGTAGCTGAGAACAATGCCCAACACCAGAGTACTGTCAAATCAATTTTTTTAAATGGCCGCAACATGGCAGTCCCTGTCAAAGTTTCTCCAGGAACTTTCTAGTTTGTACTTAAAAATTAAAAGTCTTATACCCCACCAGATTATTGTCACTAAACCAGAACTCTAATCCTAAATATCTATGTTGCTTATAAATTGCATTAGCAGCAGTCATTAACTGTATGTTTTATTTGGTGTGGACTACTTTTTGTCTCAAAATAAAGGCTGATATTAACTATTATCACTGCTGTTAACTTGTATTTCATTTAAAAAGTCACACATAGAACTGTACCATCCCCATTAAAAACATGTTGCTACAATGCAAATAAATACATTATCCGCTTCTATTGCTAGTTAGCCTGTTCAAATCCTATAGGCTTTCCGAGTTGACGTCATATTCAACAGTTAGGTTGAAGGTTATGCCTTTCTCAGATTCAATTCCTGACTTGTGTTAAATGGAAACTAGCAGGAAGCTAGCTAGCCTAGCTTAGCTTGGAAAATGGCAAAACTACCTATTGAACAGGTCTCTATTGTAAATCAGTCCTCTAACCTGTATGAATAAATGTTGAATGAATCTAAATGTGTCAACAGCTCATACGCTTGTACAATAGGTGACTGAGTTTCAAAACTCTACACAAAGATTGTTGGTTTAGCTCTTTAACTAGTAACAAAATTCACCATCTGCCAGCGATGTTAGCTTCATTTTTAGCATATACGCAGCAATCTTCTCAGCTAACTCTTCACAACTGCTAAAAGTTCATAGTGAGTTTTCTGATTCATGCTCAATAATCCAGGTACAAAAATCTAAATTAGGTCAGGTCCTCTGGATGGGTTCTTGTTGTTGAAACGTTTTGTCGTTTTCGATGGAAGACACAACGTTTCAACAAAAAGAAACCGTCCAGAGGACCTGATTTAACTTTTGTTACATTCAAAGTGAGTTTGCTTTCTTCCTGTTTAAACCTTGCTGTGTTTATCTACAAAACTATGGTATGAATTTAGTTTCGAGTTAAAAAAAAAACAGTGAACGTGATAGACGATCGAATCCATTTCATGTGGTGTCTTTGTTCAGGAGATTTGTAGCACTGGGGTTGAAATGTTTCAAATCAAATGTGATCACGAGCTGAGCTGTTGCTCGACTTAAAATAAGGGCAACTAATTTTGCGATACTTCGACTTGCGGAAGGAAAACGTCTCAGACATAATCTGAACAATATGGAACACGTATTATGAGTCTTACAAGTGATTCTACTTTAAACAGTGCTGTGCTGCTGAATGCGGGAGCCTCGCAAAGAGTTAACCTCCATCTCACAGTGTGAGCTTCATGCAGCCAAGTGAAAATTAGGTCTTCTTATTGTTCTCCCTTTTTTGGTTGAGGATTAAACGAGAAGGGGAAGGAAAAAAAAAAGAGAATTCTTTCAACTTGGCCCCTCAAAAGCAAACCTTGTTGGATCAAATCAAATCTTAAGAGGTGCGTAATGAAAACCTCTCACACGCAAAGAGCTGCCAGCCGCTGAAGGGCAGGAAAAGGGTTTTTAATTGCGCCTGTGCAGGAACGAGAGGGCGAAGTTATAAAGTGACGTGGGCAGGAACAGCAAAGACGGTAAACGATGGCGCATCATCCTTCAAGCTCCCACCGCTGTGAAGTGAGCAGGTGCATTGTTCGAGATGAGCAAACGGTAAATGAAATAAAGCGTCTCATAAGCGTGGACAAAAAGGATAAATGAGGAGCTAGATGGGGCGCTCGTTCCCAGCACTCTGTACCATCATGGGCGGGGTGCAATCGCACTGTAATTTCCTCATTTATCATCTAATGAACACTAGCACAAGGATAAAATATGTGTGGGTGTTTAATTAGCGTTACGTGTGGGCCACCTCAAAATCCATCATGCCTTCTTGGCGCGCACGCTCCCTTTTTCACTCACACTCATCTTTATCCTAGAATAGACACCAGTTTGAATCCATATCATTTAGTCACCAAACGCTGTTAGTTTTAAATGCTTCCACGTCATTAAGTAGCTCAGTGAGCATGGGTAGTCTACACAAGGCTGTTGGAGCATGCGTAATGTTTTCAGAGTAATGGGCTCCAGAGGAATGTTGGAGGTAAAATGATCTTTCTGCCCTCTCTGCCTCTGTCCCACACACATCGCTGATGGGGGGGGGGGGGGAACTGCCCTCCTGTGGCCTTAACGTGAAAAGAACAGCAAATTTAATGATTTCTTTAAAGGGACTTGCAAGTCTCGGAACATCTCCGCACCTCATTAGAGACAATAATGCTTTGTTGCTTCTGAGTCCATTTTATTTTTGCTAAAAACGGCACCCCCCCCGAGTAGTTTGACAGACTATTCCACTGTACTTACTGAGCAAAGACACTTCTAGGGTATAGCACTCAGGGAAATCTCAACATCCTCAATGCACAGATGTCCCCATATGTGATCACCCACCTCTGCTCATTTCCCATCTCACTACCAGTAAGAAAGTGCACTTTTATTTCTTTTTACAATAACCAGTGCTATATATCCGCATTGCTTTAGTCAGTAGGCCTGTCGTGATAAACAATAAATCAATTAATCACACGATGAATGAAAATTATCAACCTCATTTTCACTTACCGGCTTTATCGTTTGTTTGTGTCTGTCTCTCTTTCTACTGAAGACACGGTTCAACTCCAGTGCTCTTCACTGACCAACTCCCTTTCTTTTTAAAATCTGTTTTCACTGTCCAAAATCACGTTTTTGGATCGTTACAAGCAGCTAAGCTGATAAGCTAAGCTACGAGCTAAGCTAACAGGTCGACCTCGGGAATAAACCTCAGTCTTGTCGAGCTCCAAAATTCACGGTTGAAACCCATGCCAGTTGTTTTTCTCTGCAAAAAGAAGCAGAGAACTTGTTTACTGTTTTTTTTTTTTTATTAAAAGCTTTGTGTGAAAAATGCTATGATAAAAAGCTCAAATCACCAAGCGTCCGCCATGTCACCATGTTGCGTTAAGGGCACTCCCTCCCCCCTCCCTCCCATTTTCTTAGAGACACGCTGCTCAACTACCCATCCTTTGGTTCAAACAGTCTTATACTGCCATCTGGTGGTCAAAAAAGGTACTACACTCCAAACAAATTAAAATTTCTTCTAAAATTTGACAATTATTGTTAAATTTCATACAATATTATCGTTTATCGCAATAATTTCTGAGACAATTAATTGCCCAACAAAATTTGTTATCGTGACAGGCCTACTCATCAGCAGTGTTTGAATTTCCCCTTCACTGTGTTGTCTTTCTGTTGTACAGGGGTGTGTTGAGTGTGTGTGTGTGTGTGTGGGGGGGGGGGGGGGAGTAAAACCAAGAAGAGGACATATTTTGTTTCTGTGGTTAGCAAAAGATCCCAGCCCTCTAAAGCGCCACTAAAATTTCCGAGGCTGACGTTTGTCAGAAGCTACACCCAGGGTGCCGTGATTGTACAAATCCATGTTCATGTATAGTACTGACCACTAAAACAACTTTCAAAACCCTGCTGGTTATATAAAACAAAACACCTCTACCTCTTTTTCTAAAGATAAAAAAGATAGCAGGTAATCCCACATTATTATCCACAGTATAAATTACATAGTAGACAGAACTTGGAAATATATATATATAGTACAGTTATATTTCACTAAATTTTTTTCTGTTTTCTACACAAACAGTGTGTATTTATCCAATGGGTTCTTGTGTGTCTGTTGGAACAGCACTGCACCAGCGTTACATCACGTGTGGCAGAACTCTGTGCTGGGCACATTGCTGCTCTTGCAGTAGGCTATGCTGTTGTTGCTGAGGTGACAGTCTCTAAATCCAATGCCCCCATTGGGCGTGTATATGGGCTGGATGCGGAAATCTCCCTTAAGCAGCTGCTCATTGTTCAGAGCCACTATTTGGAAACTGGTTTCAGTCATCTCCAGAATGGAGTTATCCTTCTTAGTTCCAGCCTCGCAGTAGTCGTCTTTTCTCCTGCCACGATTGTATTTCCACTTGGTTGAAGACGACCGGCTCTTCCTGTGCATGTGCCAGCAGAAGAAGCCTAACAACGTCACCAGGATGATAAGAACCACCCCGCCTATGATCCCAGCCATTAGCAGCGTGAAGTTGATGCCATCCTGAGGTGCTTGCTCTCTGCCAGGAGACTTCGTAGAAGGAGGCAGCTTGGTCCTGGCCTCAGAGCAAATAGTATCCTCTCCAGGCCTGTAGGAGTTAAGGCTGTCCAGGACGTGAACACAGATCCGATACACCGAGCGCGGCTCAAGGTCAGTGAGGCTGATGTGGCGCCGATCCCCACTCACCGTCCTCTCCCGCAACCCCTCGTTTATTTGGCTTTGGCCCCTTTTGACCCAAGTCACTTTATAGGCCGTGACAGTAAAATAAGACATCCAGCTCACCTCAATGTTAGTGGAGTTGACCACGTGGAAGGAGATCTGCAGGGGGTCCTCATAGGGGGGAAGGGGTCCTGGGTTATTATAGAGTGGAGGTAAAGGAGGGGAAGGGGAATCAAAGTAGTAAGGGATTGATGTGGTGATGAGGGTGGAGATCATGGTGGTGATGGGGGTGGTGGTGGGTGGGGGAGGTGGGGTGGAGCGAAGTGTGGGCCAGGCTGGCTGGTCGGGATAAATTGGGCACTCAATATTATCCAGCGTGAGCTCTCTGATTGTCATGCCACGCACCTTGTCTGGACTGGAACACACAAACCCCCGGGCGTTGATAAAGGATGGTAAGGACTTTAGCCACACCACCACCCATTTAACAGCACAGTCACAGCGCCAGGGGTTGTTCCGCACCATGAGATGCTTCAGACTTGACAGGCCATCAAACACACCCTGTGTTAGAGTCTGAAGTTGGTTGCTGGAGATATCCAGTTTTTCAAGCCTATTTAGGTCAGCAAAGGCTGCCACAGGGATCTGGTCTATCTGGTTTTCCTGCAGACTAAGTTTGACCAGTGACTGGCTGGGTAAAAGGGGTGGGGGAAAGGTGAGAGAGTTGCGAGCCAGGGCCAACTCACGTAGGGTGGAGAGGTCCTGGAAGGTTCCTGGTGCAATGCCCTCATCCGTCAGCAGGTTTCCATCCAGCAGAAGGCGCTGCAGGCGCGTCACGTTCTGAAAGGCCTCCTCTGCAATGATGGCAATGCGGTTCTCGTCCAACCGCAGCTCTTTCAAGTCCTCAGGAAGGCCAATTGGAACACTGCTCAAGTGGTTTTTTGTGAGGAAGAGAAGTTTGAGGCTCAGTGCCTCCCTAAAGGCCCCTTCCTCTACCCCTACTGTAGAGATAGAGTTATCATCAAGGTGCAGCTCCTCCAGTTTAGTCAACTGAGCCAGGGCTCCTCTGGAAATAGTTTGAATGTTGTTCTCCTGCAGATGCAGGACCCTGGTGTTTTTGGGTAGATTGATGGGGAATTCATCAAGCTGGTTTCCATAGAGGTACACCATCTCAACGGAGGCCAGATTATGAAGCTCCATGGGAAAGCCAGCATTGTTGATCTGGTTGTTGTGTAGGTAGAGGACCTTGTAGCCATCCTCTATCCCCAGAGGCACTGATGTCAGGCTGCGTTCATTGCAATACACAAATGTTTTGTCACAACGACACTCTTCAGGGCAAGAAGCAACCGGGCTGAATTGCATTTGGAGACTTAGTATGACAGTCAACCAGAACTGCAAAAATGAAGCCCAATCTTTACTCCAGAGTCCAGCCAGACACTCCATAGTTGAAAAACAGAGAGGGAGAAGGAAAACCATCAATAAAAAAGTAAAATAAAACCAAAATGGCAATGCTGTATGTATCCGCCAAGAACTAGAGCCACAAAACGTCCACCTAGGAGAGCCTGGTAATGCAACAGTTAGCTGGAAGTAGTAACAAAGGGAGTAATCCAGTAAATGCTAGTCCTCTGCTGACGAGTGAAGGCCTCGTTTGTGGTGCCCTGTCCTCTGAGTGACTCCATTCATGCTGAGACATCAGACCATAGCCAGGACCCTTCGCTCGTTGCTCCACACAGAGCTCAGCCAGGTCCAATTTGAAGACACGCAGAAGGCCACCACAGGCGATGCTCGTCTGTCCGTCACACACTGCTGGTCCCCGGCCACAGTAGAGCCCAGAGGGGGTGACATTTGGATCCAGAGTCCTGTGGGAAAACAAAGAAAAGCTAGATAACTGTTTCCAGGGATGGTTTGTACTTGATGGAAAAAAAAAGGGAGCCCCTATTTTCCTTCCTTGCTCTCTCTCGTTATTTAACACACAAACATCCGTACACCCACACAATCAGCTGTCTCTCCTCTGAACAGAAAGAGTCGCACATCGAGTCTGCCGCTCGTCTGGAATTTAGCATCAAGTAAAAAAATAAATAAAAAAATCAGTCTGATAAATATTCAGAACAGCTCTTGCACATCCGGTTTCACAGAAATAAAGAAGGCTTTTATTCCCCACCACCCTCGCTCTATCAAAGGAGGTAATAGAGCACTGCAAGGACACACACTTATGGATTCACAGGGCTGCTCGGCAACATCGCTGTTGTCTAATGGAAAACAAGATAAAAAGAGATAAGACGAGTAAAGACATCAGCTGAGTGCCAGCATGGACGTCTGAAATACTTCAAGAGAAAACAAGTAAAATAAAAAAATAAAAAAACACCTGTTTTTATTTAAAAAAAATAAAAAATCCAGCTGCTTGAGCAGACGTTGTGGGCAGAGGTGCTTGAGTAAACACACAACTGCTTACAGTCAACAGACGACGGTTTCGCCTGCGGACGAGTCTGTTATTAGGCCCGAGCCGTCTGCTGTCAAAGCTGGAGATATTAGGGGCTGTGGACTAAAGAGCCGGGCCGGCCGTGGAGGAATGGAGATCCGCTCCTCCTCCGGCTGCCGTGACATACACAAGCTGTCAGACGAAATGAGATTGGAAAATAATTTACCCCCTCCGGCTGCGATAAATAATCGATACAGGCTATTTTTCAACAAGGAAAGCTTTGTACTAAACCACAAGGCCACCGGATACTGTAGACACCCCCTCCTTACACCCCCCCAGACCACCTCCAAGTCCATTATTCCAGTTTTTATGACCCGTCAAACACCTCCACTTCCTTTATGTGGAGGGTTGAGCTTAACCAACCCCTCCCCGAGTCCGTGCTGGATGAAGTGCAGTGATGGCTGTGAGCATGGATTATGAACTGGTGGTTCGTGGGCCACTATGGGCCACTATGGGCCCATGTGGGGGCACTTCCAGCCCATAATGGTATTCAGATTCACTAACACCACAGTCCTCAAGTCAACTTTGTGTTTGAGGCTGTTAGAGCGCAACATTTTTTATTTGTCTTCCTGTTTCTGACATTTTATACCAACACACACACACACACACACACACACACACACACACTGCGCAAATCTGTTTTAAAAATGTACAACTATGTCTCTAGACGTACAGATCGTCTTTTTATTATTAATAAAGGTCCATTTAAATCAACTAAATTATATTATATATTGTTAAATAAATAATTATGCATGAAAAACATGTATTAAGTTGTAAAACGTGATTAGAAGATGATAAACGCGGCATAATATAACACAAAATAATAGTTTATTTTTATTTAATGTAATAGTATATTTTCTATCAAACGCTAATCCCACAGAATCTGCTGAAGCTAACGTCTCGCTGCTGATACAAACTGCAAGGAATTATTCATAATTAACAATGTCCGATTTATTGTTTGTCGTAAAATACAATTGTAATAGAACGGTTGTTGCTGAATCCAGATTTTACAGGGAGGTGTGCTCGTGTGGAGCGCGTTCTTCAGTCAAGTCTCTGAACACGTCGAGCTCCGGACGAAGCTTTTTGTTGAAACGAGCGTTGAGTGGAAAAAGAACGAGGCCAGATTATGCTCCGTTTGAGAAAATGTGACAATCTGTGTAATCTCTCACAACTTTGTGTCGTGCAGCGACGAGACATCAAGTCCAGAAAACATTTAGAGACCCCCCCCCTGCTGTGTTCCACCACACCATTAAAAAAAACACAGGTCACATCTGCCTCTTGGACTTGGCTCGACTGGGGGGTGTTCTTATCTGTGATCTACTTCTCTAAATTGAAAAGTGCTAAATTTAATCAAATAAGATTTTTTTTTTGGGGGGGGGGGGGTGTGTGTGTGTAACAACAATACACTCCCTCCTTGCAAGTTCTTCTCCTTTTAATTTCATTTCCAGTCGAAGGAGCAGCGTCCTCCTCCCCACAGGAGGAGGACTGAAATGGAAAGTTTAAAATGTGTTCAGGAGGATCAGGTGGACTGTCTGGAGAGGGGGGGGGGGGGGGGGGGGTTACTTCACAGAGGAACAGCGCGTGAAAAGTAGAATTTAGAGATTTTGTCTTTATCCCGCTGAAATAAAAAGTATTTTACAGATTAATCTGCAGGTTTTGGTGAATTTAATCCAGAAACTGTTCAATCTCTGAAACTTCGCTCTGTTTTCTTCCATTTCGTCGTAACCCCCCCCCCCCCACACACACACCCCCCCACACACACACCCACACACACCCACACACACACACAGTACCTTCAGCGCGCGTGGATCCGTCCGGAGGCGCCCCCCCCCCCCACACGCAGCCGCGGTTCACTGCCCCCCCGCCGCTCCGTCCTTCAGGCGCCCCTGCCCGAGGACCGTGCGTAAAAGTGTCCTCGCTCGGGGCCACGGAACATCTCCTCACCCCCTTCCTCACCCCTCCCTCCCTCCGCGGCTTCACATGGAGCTCAGGAATAAAAAGATCATGAAACCAGTTTGGATTCAACAGAGTCTGCGGCGCGCAGGAACCGAGGGGGGGCTCTTGTCCCCCTCCACGCGGCCGACGCGCTCTCCGGGGTGTCCACGGCGGGTCATGGCGGTCCGGCCTCGTTCTCCTCCTCGTGCGCAGCTCGGAGCCGGACTCCCTGCACCTCCTGCTCCGAGATGGATTCAGTTGATAGTGCGACGCGCGCGCGGCTCTGCTCACCCCCCTCTCTCTCTCCTCTGTCCCTCCTCCTCCTCAGGATGAAGAACGCCTCTCCTCCAGCAGCTGCACCTCCCCACTGACCCGCACGCTGCTCCCAACACTTTATCCCTGGCACGCTCGTGCACGAGCCTCTCATATTCAACAAAAACAGAGAGAAGCGCCACAGATTCCCATGTTGTCGCTTCGTCTCCGAGTGACAGAACGTTTGATTCTTCCTGCTCTTTACTAGTTTTAAAGTTTTTAAATGGTTTAATTAAACCAGTTCAAGTTTATTCTGGCCGCTGCTTTCTACCAGTGATTTCCAAAGCTCTACATTTTGTACGTTTTGCCTTCTGAGCTGTGAAAGTGTCTCTGCTCCGGCACTCGCGCCGTCTCTACATCAAAGGGGCCGGCGGTGCGCGCGCGGCTATCACCTTTAAAAGAGTCCAAAGAGACGCGCGCGAGCAGACAAGCAAGCAGCCCGAACTAAGCTGCTGGTGTTAGTGAATAACAGCGCGCGGCTTCTCGTCCCCCCCCCCCCCCCCCCCCCCCAAAAAAAAAAAAAAAATCACTAAAAACCAATAAACCGAGGAGCTGAGCAGAGGCGGTGTTAGGATCCTGAAGCACGGGGGCTCCATCCTCTAACACCCGGGAAGTATGGTTTTCAGTTTAAATAGATATTTGGGTTATTGTAAAGTGGGCTTCTGTGAAAGTGCCCTCAAAAACTCTTGTTTGGGGGGGGGGGGGGGGGGGGAATAAACCTCTCATTTATTTAAGTATTTGTTTATTTACTTTGGGTGGGGTGAGGGGACTCATCAATAAACAATACTGTTCCCAACAAATAACCCGCCCCCCCCCCAAAAAAAAACTTGCTTCTGTAAACTCCCATTATTGTTCCTTTGGGGTGAGAAATCAACCCATACCTGTTATAAATGCTTTTTTTTAAATTATTATTATTACACTAATTACAAATTTTACATAATTTATTATTTTGGTTATTTATTTATTGGGGACTGCCTAATAAGGCAGCCACCTATTATTATCCACCTGACAAGGGTTTCTTAACTTTATAGCTTACTTTTCTGTCAACTTTAATGCGGCCTGAACTACAACGCGTACCCCCACAAGCGTTATATCAAAACGACCGGTTCAACTTTGTGATGTGTGCTGTTCCTTTTATTGGCGTTTCAACTTGTGGTGACATAATTCTCTTAAAAGACATCATTTTTCTCATTCCGAATGCCTGACGGATCTCTAAAATGGCCACCAGTAGACAGTCCCGGTCTAAGTTTCTCCAAGAACTTTCTATTTTTTTTTACTGTTAACCCTCTACTTTTGACTTTTATAATCGTCCACTAGGTGGTGCTCTGCTTTCACACTTGAGAGATGGTGCAGCATCGTAGGGCAACTTGAAAGGGTGCCTCTTTAAAATGTAAAGAGCAAAAACAAACTTGTGTCATCCACAAGTCAAAATTGGAAACAAAACAGTAAATCCACGTGCACGATGGCTGACGAAACGTTTCCTGTCCAGTGTCCAACTCCTGTGGGCTCGTTGGTGGACAGACCGAGCTGCCGGAGACCCAGTTATCTGGTTCAGTAACAAAACAAAACACGTACTGGTGTTTTATACAAGTAGTCTTAGCAAAAACGTAAAATACAGAAATGAAAACAAAATAAATAAATAGAAAACTCGAATAGGACATGAAAATAGCATCTACTGGATCTTGTGTGTGTCTCCTCAAAAGTCCAGAGTGGACTTTTTCAAAAAAGTCCAACGGGGGAAAAAAAACCATTTTGTGCGTCCTAAAGGTGAAACATGCCGCTCCGTGAGTTGACTTGAAATCAACAGTTAAAAAAATAACAACTGATCTGTGAAGATTTGTAAAGCTAAAGACATTTAAGGAGCTAAAATAGTCCGATTCAATTAGATTTATTTTCAGGCTAAGCTAGCTTGAAATGATTAACTAGCTAATGGATTTAGGTGGTTGATTGTTTTTAGCAGAAGTAAAACTAGAAATAAATTAGAATCCTGACATTGAGGTTGGTCACATGTTAAATCAGTGAGTCTCAAACCTTCAGACTTTGTTCACAACAACAACCCAGAGGTACATCCTGTTAACACACCATCAAAAAATACATGTTTTTTTTTTTTAAATCTATTTTATGACTAGACTTTATCTTTTTTAACAAGTGAATGAAAATATCCTCTTACCTGTCAATTTCAACTGTAATTTAAGACGTGTCATCTTAGTGCGTTAGTGATCCTGACTGCAAACAGTGGAGCTACATTTCTTGTTGCGACACTTTCAGCTCCTCTTGTGTAACAAACGTTACATTTTACCTTCGTCAGACTATTGTGTTATCTGACAACTCCCACCCACTCACAGTCCTGCACATAAAAGAATGCACCCCCCCCCCCAAAAAAAAAATATATATATATGTGCGTGTGTGTGTGTTTCAATCTTGTAAGTAGACCTACGGTGGCCCTAAGGTGTAAATGACCAACATTTGATTTACACCTTAGGGCCACCATATAGACCAGTACCTGAAACTACATTTTTATGCATTAAAAATATATATATTTATTGATTGTAGCCTCTGTTTTCAATATACTGTATCAACAGCAGATGAAGTAAGTGATGTCATCATAGTATGTTCCCACACAATGATGAAATTAGTTCATTTAACCCATCACACCTGAGATAAACCCAGGTGGAGCAGTGGGCAGCTATTTGGGCACCCGGGGAGCAAGTGGAGATTAGGTGTCTTGCTCAGAGACACTACAACGTGTGGGCATGGCTGGGAGTCGAAACGAAACTTTCTGGTCCCAAGTTGGCTGCCCTTCCTCTACACCAGACCTGGGCATTGTACGGCCCCAGGGCCACATGCGGCCCTTTGGTTGACTCTGACCGGCCCCCGTAAGGGGAATTACAAAATACATATGTAAACAAATGAAGTTAACCAAATCCAGATATAGATCCTCTCTCACTGATGATGTCAGCTTTGCTTCACATCTCCACCTCAGACCTTCAACCTGACTTTAACATTTCCGTTAAAGCCCAACAGAGACTAGACTTCTCTCACTAAACAAGAAAAAAGAACTGATAAACACCAAATGAGATGTTTAGACTACAAATGTAGGCACGTAAAGAACCGGGACTCGAAATCGCAGTTCAGTGACAATCACTATGTTTCATAATATTTGGAGTACAAAGACAATATTGTGATATATTTACAAAGCTAAGAACTTTTTCCAGCAGTATATAAAACTCAAAATGAGTTTTGGGGTGAACGTGACTGAAAATGATCACTAATATAACGTCACAAATGGTAAAAATGTTAACAGTTTACCATTGTACTGGGAAATTTAATTGAATAAATGACATTTTTTGTAAGGAAACCTCGCTTTTTCATTGCTTAATCATAACAAATACTCTTACCAGCTTGTTAAAACAGTGCTATGTACTGCGTTTAATAATGAAATACTAATATTATGCAGTACTGAGTTAAGTTGAAATCAGGTCTCTCTTGTAAATGAGTCCTCGAGGCTCAATGGGATTTACCTGTCTAAATAAAGGTTGAATGAAAAAGTCATTTGTGCCAGCCCTCCACAATATTTGCTGTTTCTCATGTGGCCCCATGGAAAAAAATAATTGCCCACCCCTGCTCTACACGGTCTCGGCCCCATGATAACAAAATAACTAGATGACTAAAAGATAACTAGTCCCAGATCATTTTCAGAGTCCCCGAGTTAAACAAGTTGATTCCAACTGGAGAAAAAAAAAAGAATCTTCACATCTCTGCTGCAACAAGATGAAACGTTTCCTCCAACCAGAGGCGAGGCACCACCAAATGGGGGCCAGGGTGGCAATGGCCACCTTTAAATAAAAATAAATTTAAGCCCTCCCCCCGTGACCCCCTTTTGACAGAAAATGTAATACTTTTCTGTGTCGTCAACTATATGACAGTTACCATAGATTTAGGGTCTGTATGATGTAAGCAAACATTGTTTTAGAGCAAATTATGAGTTAAAAATTAAAACAATTAAAAAAAAACTTTAGTCCCCTGAGGACAACTGGTCTAAAACCAGTTATGCAGGGTTTCAGGAGGTTATATGCCTTGTTTCTTCTTTTCAATAAATATCAATTTAGGAGAACAAAAGCTTCAGTATGTTGAGTAGTGACAGGACATTTCTCGATATCCATCCATCCATTATCTTTACCCGTTTATTCCACTTTGGGTCACGGGGGTCACTGGTGCCCATGTCCAGCAATCACTGTGCGAGGGGCGGGGTACACCCTGGACGGGTCGCAAGTCCATCACAGGGACACATAGAGACAAACGAGACAAACAACCATTCACTCTCTCACTCACACCTAGGGACAATTTAGAGTTACCAATCAGTCTAACATGCATGTTTTTGGACTGTGGGAGGAAAATGGAGCACCCGGAGAAAACCCACGCATGCACGGAGAGAACATGCAAACTCCACCTAGAAAGGCCCCTGGACCGGAGTTTGAACCAGGGACTTGCTCGCTGAGAGGCAGCAGCTCTACCACTTGCGCCACCGTGCTGCCCGTCATTTCTCGATATATCAACGGTAAATTAAAAAACAA